CTTGCGGGGACGGCGTTCGCTGCGCGCACGAGGTGCCGGGTTTGGGTCAGCTCCGGCGGTCGTCGGCACGAGCGGCTCGATCTGACCTGTAGGCCGACGCGTGAGTGAAGGCCCTGCACAGGCTCGTCGCTGCTCGCTCCAGCTTCCAGTACTTTGCAGCCATGAGCCAGCGGCGAGCACGCATAAGCGCCACACATAATCCACCGCCAGGGAGAACGGACCAGCCGAACCTGCGCACACAGCAGAGAGAGAGAAGAGAGCGAACATTGATTAGATTAGTTAACTAACTAAGCAATGCTCATCAGTACACAGAGAAAGCGAGAAGGAGCGAGATAGAGAGAGAGAGAGGAGAGAGAGAGAGAGAGAGAAGAGAGAAGAGAGAGACGAGAGACGCATGAATGAAGAGAGGGTGAGAGAGAGAGAGGGAGAGAGAGACGAGAGAAGTAAGGGTAGCTTTTAGCGGAGCCCCATATATAATATTGTCTGCTAGAAAAATGTTGCGCGAACGGGGATGTAAAGCTGTTAAGGACATAATTTCATTAATTTACGTGGGACCTTGGGGCATTCTCGCGTGCTCCGCGTTGTGCTATGCGTTCGCAGTCCTAGTCGAACGCATCGACGTCCTTTCTTTCGCTGGGATTGTCGCAGACGAGAGAGTACGTGAGATGAAACGTCAGGCATCTTATGGACCGGCAGTCGACCGGAAAAACTGGCAGTTTGCCCGCTCGCGGGCGCGCGTAGTGTTGTTTGTGATGTGTATTCTGTGCCTGTGTGTTTGGTGTGTCGTGATTTGTGTGTGTGGTGTTTGTGTGTGTGTGTTTGTGGTGTGTATGCGTGTGTGTGGTGTGTTTTTTGTGTGTGTGTGTGTGTGTGTGTTGTGTGGTGTGTGGTGTGTGCGCGCGCGGCGTGCGTGTTTGTGGCGTGCGTGCGTGCGTGCGTTGGTCGTGCGTGCCGCCCTGAACCACGCTGCGACGATACAGAGACGGGTAATGGTGCACGTAATGGATAAGGAAAATGTCATCCAACAATATTTCACATTCATTACATCTGTTGTGCCGCTGTTTGTACGGGGGGGTTTACTTTCTGTGCGACATCGTGTAAACGTATCCTAGCACGCTATGCATACTCAGCCGAGTATACTATTCCTCTATTGTTATACACCAGGAAGTAAAGGGGGCTAGCCGGGCGCGTGACGCAAGGACACACGCCTTATTATCGGGACACGCAGCTATGGTTAGTGGTACTGTATTTAGCAGGGGTCTTTCGCTTATATCTATTTCGCGCGGCAAAGCGAGGCGTGCGTCTAAACAATGATACTTTATACTTACTCGTGTTTTCTGTTGTTTATATTAGACTATAACGTTTGCACGCGGGCGGGAACAGTAACATCGTAAATATCATTCAAAAAGATAATTATTGCTACTATTGTATTCAATCATTATCATAATAATAATAATAATAATAATAATAATAATAATAATAATTGGCGGATAATGCGGAGACGGGTGGGGGCCGGGGGGTAACACAAATAGCAGATTACATGGAAACTCAGTATGAAATCCGATTTATTAATAATCATTCTGCAGTAGAATGATACATAACTAAAGAAATATGGTACGTAAAGGGCATAGTTATTTATTTATTGTTTAAAAAATCAGCGTGTCTGTGGCGATTACGTCAGGGGCCGTATGTATCGCATTGTGGGACAAACTGGCATGCGATTGGGAAAAATAGTATACACACAAACTGAGCAGTACACATGGAGCACGAGACTCTACTGATAATCGAGACTCTACTGTATTAATGCTATAATAATAATAGTAATAATAATAAATAATAATAAAATAAAATTGTTGTTGTCGTCGTCGTCGTCGTCGTCGTCGTCGTCGTTGTCGTTATTGTAGCATGACGGTGTTGTTTCGATTTCTAAAAACTCCGTTGTGTAAATACATTGCGATCATTGCAACATGGCGATGGCGGCGTTGATACACGTAGAGCGTGCTATAGTGTTGGCAGCGGGCTCAGGGCTTTGGATACAGCGCGTTACACACAGACGCGATACTTCCAGTTCACTCATTCGCGTATTGTTAAGTTAAATTTAGCAGTCACGTACGAATTAACGTTGTTAGCGTATAATTTGCCATGCAGCGTCCAGGGGTTAGTGCGGAATTAGGAATAGCAAACGCAGATCACGTATATGTGGGAGAATCTAACGATACCTCGATTCGCGTCAAAGTGCTTGGTTAATATTCACCTTCGACAGTGAACGCACGAAAATCGGCTTATGTACACAATCTAGTAAAGCGCCGGTGAGCGTAAGGTCGAGGTCTAGCTTATCTAGAAAAACCGCCTCGACACAATGGCTAATAGGTTCGTTATTTTTCCTGACAAACATTCATTTTTGCATCCCCCTGGACTGTGCGTCACCGCCATTACGAAAAACGAAACTAATATTAGATTTACACACCAGATAAACACTTAGATTACTCGGGGCATTATGCCAGCATGCACGCAGAACACGGTATTTTTACCGCGAGACAACGGTGGTTGAAAATCGCTTTGACAAATACGGATTGCTGAGCGCGCCCAGGGCGGGCTAGCATGCCAGGCATACACGCCGGGAGTTCGACGGCAGTTATGCAGATATGGAGACGAGATATAATTTATAATCCGACAAGCCGCTGTCACTAATCAATCTTTGTAAAGCGCTGCCCTGCATGCGTTACAATAACCTGAAGTCGCGTAAGGCTTCAAATGAATAGCATAACAACGAACTGCACATAAACCTCCTGTTAAATCCGGGACACATATCGATTTTAATATTGTTCAGGGAGAGCATACGAAAGCGCGTGTACTGTTTCCTGGCCCACCCTGAATTTATTTACGAAGATATATAGGAGCTAACCAGAATACTCACTTCACTTAATTAAGTGTGACTTGGAGTGTGCTTATCGTTGCAGCCAACAAACGAGCTGTTTCACCTCGCGTACGTAAGACGAGAGGAGCGGAGAGGGCACATAGTGGAGGGAGCGAAGGAGAGACGCGCTGTCTGGACAGAAGATGGGAGTGATAAGCGAATAAGAACGAGGAGAGAGAGAGGAGAGGATATAAGCAACGAGAGGTGGAGATGAGACGAAGACACAATGGGAAAGAGAATGGAGACGAGATAGACTAACGTAGAATAGATAGATGGATGGATGGATTGGGGACGGACGGACGGGCGGACGGACGGACAGATAGATAAATAAATAGATAGATAGATAGATGGATGGATGTATAATATATTATATATGCATAGATAAGATAGATTAAATATTGTGCACTAGATAGTAGATAGATAGATAGATAGGTAGATAGATGATAGATAGAGTAAGATAGATAGATAGATAGATAGATAGATAGATAGACGGTACGGACGGGGCGGACGGACGGACGGCGGACGGCACGGACGGGCGGGACGGACGCGACGGGCGGACGGACGACGGGCGGAACGGACGGGACGGATGGATGAATATCTCTCTCTCTCTCTGTGTGCGCAGGTTCGGCTGGTCGTTCGTCCTGGCGTGGATATGTGTGGCGCTATGCCTGCTCGCCGCCTGGCTCTGGCTGCAGAAGTACTGGAAGCTGGAGCAGCAGCGACGACCTGTGCAGCGGCTTCACTCACGCGTCGCCTACGGTCAGATCGAGCGCTCGTGCCCGACGACGCCGGAGCTGGACTCCAACCCGGCACCTCGTGGCGCGCAGCGAACCGCCGTCCCTGCAAGCGTCGAAATGGCGGCAGCGAGTAGCGCGCATGCGCGCACGCCCCGTGCGGAGACACGCGCGGAGCGGACGCTCACGTGCGTCACGCAATCGAGTGAGACGTTGTTAGACCGGAGTCCCAGAGAGTTGTCGCTAGACCGGAGTCCCAGAGAGTTGTTGCTAGACCGGAGTCCCAGAGAGTTGTCGCTAGACCGGAGTCCCAGAGAGTTGTCGCTAGACCGGAGTCCAAGAGAGTTGTTGCTACAGCGCAGTCCCAGAGAGTCGTTGCTAGAGCAGAGTCCCAGAAAGGTGTTACCAGAGCGGAGTCCCAGAGAGAAGTTAATGTTAGATGGGAGCCCAAGAGAGGACTTACCACTACGGCGGAATCCTAAAGAGCACCTACTATTAGATCGGAGTCCTAGAGAGGAGCTGCTGTTGCGGAGAAGCGCCATGGAACCGGGAAGCTCCGGGGTTACTAACAGCCGTACTGCTGGCGTGACGACGGCGCGTAGCCGAGAGTTCGCGCCAGGCATGCTCATGTCGACAGTGTGAGGCGGTCGTGTCGACACGAGGTCCACACGTCTGCAAGCGTGCATGCAGCGCTGCTGCGTCGTCCGAGGCGCGAGCAGCCGTGCCGCCTCCAGTGTGCGCACCGTGCGTGACGGCATACACGAGGGGAGGGGATTGCAGTGTGGCCTCAGCAGCAGCAACGACCCGCACGCCGAGCGCTAGCCGAGTTATGCGCGAACAGCAGGAGGGAAGCGCACGCACTGCGGGTCTCAGCCAGCGGCAACACTATCGACACCGACGATACGCAATATTTCTACGGAGAGTACACACACCCGCACGCACGCACGCACGCACGCACGTACGCATATACACACGTACACACATACACAGGCGCGCACACACACAGACACACACGCACGCACACACTTACGCGCGCGCGCACGCACGCACACACTTACGCGCGCGCGCACGCACGCACACATACACACGGCAATAAACCGAGTTTTGCCTTGGATTTTAGCAACGTGGAGGGAAAACGCGAAGTGCCTTATCGTGCGCATGCGCGCGGCGGAGAAGCGACGCACGCGTGCTGTTGCGACCGTATCGGTCTGACAGTAGCCCGCGGGGCCGTTTCTTATGCATTATTTATGAATCGAGCTCCATTCGTTTTTCACGGAAAACTGTTAACATTTTCACTTTGCCGTCACGTAAATATATCTAGTGGAACACTTAACGTTTTAATGCATCTATTAAATAGTTTAACACTCCTTTTCATGGTTTTTGTGCGCGTGTGCAAAAAATATGTATATGAGATTTAAACAGCGGAGTGGGCGTGGAAAATGTTTCGAGTTTATTGCGTCCTGCTTTCCGACACGACCAAGGTAACACGAGAAATAAATGTACACGTTTATTCAAGTGAACAGAGATTCTCACGTTTGAGCTTCTGATATATTACATTTAGCTGCAAATGAAGTTAGCGCGTCCTATATGCTGGTTAATTGAAATGACTTCAACACGGTGGAATATCATGAAATGCAATGAGAAAAAAACCCAGCTGGATATAAATCAAGAGTACATAATAGAGATTATGTACTCTTGATATAAATACAGCTGAACTACGCCTGCGCAGACGGCAAGCATGCAACCGTGTACACGGAATTGAATACGGCACCTGTCAAACGAATACAATGACCGCGACACACAATGTTCACAGCTACCCACATTCACCCGCACGGAAGACAGATATGAGCGGGAAAAAATTTGAATATAGAAAAATCGTTAATGTAAGGCACAGCAAAAATTGCACTTTACAACGAATATACAAAAAACACGTAACAAACGCAGTAGAGCAACAGCTGTGTGAATTACTTACAGTTGTTAATTCTTGGCTGCTGATTCAGAACCTCTTTTGATGTCACCTAGTCTTACTTTCCTGTACGAACTCTACACGATGTGAATACCAACTCTACTACTTAGCAGTCTGCATATTACGCACAAGGCAAATACCTTATGGTAAAAGATATTTATAACTTAGCCATTAAAACGATTGACAATAACATGACTGTGCTAAGATGTAACAGAACAAAGAACACAAACACGGCATGTTAACAGAAATAATTAATTACTCTGGGTAATTAGAGTTAATGCAAATATAGGCGATAGCTCCACGTGCTGCTAGCTGATTAAATAAACCAAGTTTATGTATCTCACCTGACCTGCAGATATATTTCACCAACTACAATCATTGGACAGTTTGCAAACACTTACAAAGCAGAACAAACACGTGTTTACACCGCAGCGTTGCTAATGGCCCTGTCACACCTTGACGACTTACCAACGAAAGCCAGCGTATACCGACGTATGAAAAATTTGGTTAATACGCTGGCGTACGTCGAATAAGTTATGGGTAAGCTTTGTATAAGCTTTGTATAAGTTAAGAGCACGCTGAAGAACGCTGAAGCACGCTGAAGCACGCTGAAGCACGCTGAAGCACACTGAAGCACGCTGAAGAACGCTGAAGCACGCTGAAGAACGCTGAAGCACGCTGAAGCACGCTGAAGCACGCTGGTATACGTCGTAGTACGGCGAGTACGTCGGAAAATTTTGAGCATGCTCTTAACTTATACAAAGCTTACCCATAACTTATTTGACGTACGCCAGCGTATTCACCAAATTTTTCATACGTCAGTATACGCTGGCTTTCGTTGGTAAGTCGTCAAGGTGTGACAGGGCCATGAGGGAATCAATTGAAATGGCTTATGGCTGCCATCACGCAATAATTCTGAAAAAGTGACAACATCAAACCATTGTCACAATGTCACATTACTACTGCCAAGCTAAACCGTCATCGGCATGTCACATGTCATAGCACATGATGAGGTATACAATATCATTGGGCATTGTTAATTTCTGACATTTCACAGCTGGCTACAACTGTTACTAACACGACGTTGTGGAGATTGCCTCATGTTAGTTTCCAAACGGCGAACTACAGAAAATACAGAAAATTCAATATTTTCTGAGAGAAGAGTACAACATCGATAGGAAGGAATGTGGCAACATGTATTGAGCAAATTGTATATCCGGCCACCTCTACTAAAATCTAAATTATACATCTATTACCATCAAACACAGGCAACTTTGCCCCCGGTACCTGCCAACTTATATTAGCATCAAACTCTGATCTCTATGACAGCAACCATGAGCATTACTCGAGTTATAATTACTTCTTAGTGTGCTACAATGCCTAATTATTGCTGTCATTCATTGGTCTTTACGAGGTATGAGAGCATCTGTGCCTACTGTCTAGTTAACCATCCAGTATGCAAAACTGCTTGCATGATATTATGCATTCATGAGCTAAACGAGCAGGATCTAATGGAAACTATTTGTGAGTTTCTTTCCGAATTTCAGATGAAAAATTATCTCAAGGTATCATATTTTTACGCAGGTTATGCATAGATATATGCAGTATATTGACAAAAAGTGCACACTATATTATGCACGTGCGGGCATGCGAGGCCAGGTCAATGCCTCTACTGCTTCCGTACACGAACTCCCTAGTTAGCAATCAGATGTCAATTAATCTGCTGATTTGTTCAGGGCACCCATTGGAATAAGACCATTAGTATTGACACATGCACGTTTCAGTCGTTCCCTATTGCTACTGAACAGACAGCTTCCATCCGGGATACTTGAAACAGGCGCCAAAGAAGAGCTTCTTCTCATCCAGCTTACCTCGGTTGAAGTCGGTCACCCAGTCGAACGTCACTTGTTTCTCCGCCACCTCGACGCTGACTCGCACCTTGTCGACAGAGGGCAGCACCTCTGTGTGGTACATGATGTTCATGCCAGCAGTCAGGGTGGGAAAGCGTGTCACCATCTCCTTGCCATTGATGTAGACTTGGCCTAAAAATCGCATTGCTGTGGTCACACCGTTACGAGCCAACACTGCTGCGCAATTCCAAAAATATATCAATTACAAGTGCTGATGTTGGTTATAGTACCAAGAGGCACTAAAGAATTCAATAATTGAAGCCCGTACTGTGATATTCAACTCTAACTATGCCATTATTCTACCTCTTATTGTGATCAATGTTAAAACCTAACTGAGCCCCAGTATAGAAAAAAATCTACACATACTAACTAACATATTGTGTTCTATGATATTGGCTACCGGTATGTCAGGGCCCGAGTGGATAGCATGCTGAGCAATGAAAATGTGTTCCTGTTTAAAAACGACTAAATATATAAATGAATGAATAACTAAATAAATAAATAAATGAATAGAAATTTAACCAACATCGTGAATAAGCTCCTCAAATGACTGGCGTACTGCTCAGCGCAAATACAATCGGATTCCAACAAACCATCGGATTCCAGACATCTCTTGTTAAACTATCTCCGCAAAAACTTCTACAGGGCCGATGGAAGCCACACAAACGAAAACAAATGGCAAGCTGATACTCCACGATAGTTTAGCTACAGTTCGTCTCACTATCTTCTTAAACTAAAAGTTTTAACAAACCTGAACAAGGGTGGAGGAACAAGAAAAACACACTCCGATAATAAACACCACCCTTGGCACGCAACTCCCAAGCAGACTCTATACAGCTGATGCAAGAATACCTCATTTAGCAGGCAGGCTAATGTTAGTTATACATGGAGTGGCATTTCAATCAATCTAACCTAGATGGTAAATAATGAATGTAATACGGCACACCTGAATATGCACATGCAGGTAGACACGCGCGCACACGTACATACTCGAATGTGACACATGCACGCACACACCCAACCACCCATGCACGCACGCAGGCACGCACGCAAGCATGAGCGCACACACATGAACGTGGCAATGCACACGCGCAAGTAGGCATGCATTCGTGCGCGCAATGTTAAACTAGGCAAGCAGAAACGCACCAAAGTACGCACGCCCAAACACATGCAAACACCCCAGCATACACACATAGACCCAGCCATGGAGGGAGACACACACAGACCAAGCCATGGAGGCAGGCACACACAGACCCAGCCATGAAGACAGGCACACACAGACCCAGCCATGGAGACAGGCACACACAGACACAGTCATGGAGGGAAGCACACACAGACCCAGCCATGGAGACAGGCACACACAGACCCAGCCATGGAGGGAAGCACACA